CACACTAATTCCCATATGAATTTTGACAGTTTTTTCTAGGTTTTATTTATCTGATCATGTAGTTCTTGGAGGCTGCACTTCTTAATTTGCAAATACCTAAAATTGAGCTGGTAAAGATTGTAGATCACCAATGTAGATGATCTGTGTCGAATGATCGGGGGCCTACTCAAGTTAGACGGGATTGGTGTGACCAACAGCTAAATTCGAAGTCACGCATCACAGTCAGCACCTTACTTGGATTAGCTCCTCATCGTATCGAGGTATTATGGATACTATGAAGATCGTAAAACATAAAGGACCTTGTTACGGAAATATATTAGTCCTAATAGGTACAAGCAAATCTGCGACCACCACCGTCCACGGCGTACGATTAACTGATGTGTGTTCAGTCAGTTGGTCATCTACAACGTAGGACCAGTTACAAAGATGTGTTGGTCCAAGTCGCCACACTTTATTAGCACAACAAGATCAGCACCAAATTCATAGAATCAGTTACTTCAATAGTAGTAAAACAAAGACATTTAATATAAGGATATGATACAATGAGAAAGAATTAGTTCGTAAAAAGAAAGGTATGAAGTAATTTTATTCTGACGGCTCAAGGGAAGACAAAAAGTATAGCACATACGCGATTGTGATCGATTCTGAGCCATATCACCCAGAGTCTAAAACCATTGGTCACGATAGTCACGCGGATCCCAGCCAAGTAGTCTGCATCTACCAAAATGGCTCAGACTAGAAGTTAGTAACCTCAAGCACTGATGCCCCTAACTCTCTTCCAACCATCCCCAACACTAATCAGCATTGCGCGTCGTGGCAATCGGTGTAACACGTGACTCAACCATCTCAGCCCATGAAGATATACAACCTCATCAATTGACTTACCATCATTCCCTAAGATTCTGCATCTAACCTCACTATTACTTACCCGGTGATTCCAGCAGATGAGAGCTATACTTCTGAGGCATCTGTAGTCAAATACTAGTAGATTACGAGCATCTCCTACTCTTAATCGCCATGTTTCGCAGCCGTGAAGCAAAACAAAACGAACTGCCGCATAGTATACTCGTCCATTAGTTCATAGACAGATATCTGGCCTTCTCCATAGTTGATGTAAGTTGGCAAAAGCCATGCGAACTTCTTGAATCCGTGATCAGATTTCGTCAGACACCAACCCATTAGGGCTGATCAGACTTCCAATATAAGTGAGGTTGTCAGAGTGTTCGACTACTTCACTCCCTATCCTTGTTTCAGGTGTTGACGCAGACCAGTCCTGAAGCAACAACTTGCATTCAGAGGGAGAGAAGCGCATTCCAAACATTCTGGCATTGTTGCTTAGTGCTACCAGAAGACTCTGCATTTTATCAGCGTCTTCACCAAACAGGACTATGTCATCTGAGTATTATAAGTAAAAAATTGGACTTCCTGGTAGATCAATGCTTGAGAATTCAGTCGACAATAACGTTATTTCCATCAGTAGGTCTATGATGAAATTGAACAAAAGAGAAGATAGTGGACAGTCTTGACAGACACCACTTGGGATCGCGAAATCAGATGACAGTTCACCATAAGCTCCTACTCGACTGGTATTGTTTGAGTGAAGAGCCTTCACAAGGTTTATGTACTTCTGAGGTACGCCTTTCAATGATAGACATTGTCACAGTACTTCTTGGTCTACAGAGTCAAATGCTGCTTTAGGTCAAGATAAACTATCATTTCCAGACGCCGATAACAACGCCTGTGTTCTAGAACCTGACGAATGGCGAATATGTGGTCGATGCAGCCACAACCAGGTCTGAGGCCAGTCTGATTTTCTTGTGTTTGCAGTTAGGCGTCTGATAATTATCGAAGCTAGTATTTTAGATGCTATGTTAGTCAAGTTAATCCCTTTATGGTTATCATAGGACGATTTTGACCCCTTCTTATATATCGGGACAATAAGTGATTGCGACCAGTCAGATGGGATTACGTCCACCTTCCGGATTTTAGCTAAAATATTAGTCAACATAATCGTTAAAGCTGAACCTCCATCCTTGAAAACTTCTGAAGCTGATTCATCTGGACTAGCTGCTCTTCCTCGTTTGATGTCGAAGGGGGGACTACTTCAATATTCCATTCAGGCTGTTTGGGAATGGTGAATAGTTGTAGAGTAGTTGAAGGCCAGCTGAACTGCTCCTTAAAGTGTTCCGAACATCGTTCTAAACGTCCCAGACGAGTACAGATAAGTGTAGTCTTTTTCCGAGATCGTCTCACCTACACTTGACTTCTTAATTCCACTTTCTTCTATTGGTCTGAAAAGCTGTCTGATTTTAGCTATAGCAGCTACCTTTTCCATCTATTTTGCTTTCATTGTGCACTACTGCTCACGGTCGTTCCTTAAACTTTTGGTTAACCTAGATCTGATTTGTTTTCGCTCTTCATCGTATTTAGAGCCTGATGGGATGAGTTTACGAGGATCTATCAGTGCAGTAGACTTAGTACAATTCCATTGGTTTTTCGTCACCCTTTGGTTTAAATCATTAATATATGTTGCTGCGGTTTCCACAGCTGTTTGCATAACTTTCCAAGCATCATCTGGGTCAGTCTTGTTTTCAGAACTACCTAAGTTGACCTCAGTTTTTCTTGAAATATACTTTTGACTTTCTCATCACTGAGTTCAACCCTAGTAGATCTTCCTAATGTGACTTCTCTGTGTCTAATGAGGAGCAAGCAAATAAGTGCATGACAGGAGTCTGAAGACATATTCCAGAAGGAGCGGTAGTTTTCTATCGAGCCTCGCCAACGATGAGTGATGGCAATATGGCCTATTCGGGTTCATCATTGGTTTGGTGCAAAGGTTCGCCATGTTATACGATATCTCTCCTTATGCTTAAAATTAGTGCTTGATAAAAATAAACGATTGTCTGGGCACAGTTGCAACAGACGGCCACCATTATCTATCCTCTGAGCCGTAATAATAAAATACCCTTCTAAATGTTTTCTGTTTGGTTTAAGATACCTACATGGGAATTAAAGTCACATGCTACGAGTACTATATCTAAGCGTTTAGCTTTATGAACAAGTTCAGAAAGCTTTCTGTGAAAGTTATCTTTTACTTCATCCGGGTCGCAGTCGGTGGGAGTGTAGGCAGAAACGACGAAAAGGCAATGACGTGTCTCCCCATCCCTCCGAGTTCTCGCGGAGCCGTTTAGCCAAACAGCACAAAGGTGACTGTTAATAGAGATACATTATAATAGGGCTTGTTGTACCATCGTACTTCGAGCTATGCCTACACCGCCATTCCACGAGAAATAGCCAAGAGGGGTATATCTCGTCAGCTCTCCGTTTTTGCGAGGTGAGGTCAGGCGAATTACCACACAAGAATCCTGTATGTAGACATAGAATACATCAATGGTACAAGATTCTATGGTTTTAGCGAAGTAAGCCTGTTGGCCGACGCAACGTAGGATGCGTACGTAGGTTGTTTCAATGTGTAGTTTGCAGTGAGGTTTCAGTAGACCTGGAGCAGCGTTTCACGCACTAGAATCGTTGGCCATGGCAACACTTGATGAATAGCCTAAAAGAGGAAGTTAAGGGTTGAATGTCGAATAAGGAGGAATAATAGTGGGTGAAGAGGGACATTGATTGTGAATACTTTGGTCTTGAGCGCTGTTAGAGGTATAAGAACGGTCATCACTCCCCGGTTGCCCACACTGTGGAAGGTTTCTTCTGGAGGTGCCTGAAAAGGAAATCGGGTTAAAGGTGGTCCTAGTGACCTCAGAGCATGACCGCAGTACCCGAGGGACAACTGCTTCAGGCCGGTAATATACGACCTTTTTGTGAGTAGTTTTCGTGCTATCTCCGTACTTGTTGAGTCCTTACCACCAGGGACCGAAATCTGTGGGATGAGGCGTGGTGTGTATTTTCAGGGTCGACATTTTCTAACCCCACCCTTCCTTGTGAGAAGGCAGCATCACTGTCGTGCTGGTTATCTGAAGGAAACGCCTTACTGCGATCACACCTCTGTACAATCAGCAGTACGACTTCGCTCTCGGACCCTAGGACTGCCACTTTTAGTCTTACCGTTCTTCAATCAACCTGTCTGGCATGGTAGGACTCTGACGAACGATCGTTTCAGCCAGCATAGCTTGATTGTTTCATCACGACAGGCAAGCCCGGCCATCACGTCAATGTAACATCAACGGCCAGGGTGATATGTGTCATTGAAATTCACGGAGTTCGTTGGACTGTTCGAAATTCTGTGACCCAACTGCCGGATGAATTAGCTAGAACTCAGTGACACTTCACTGGCCCTACAAGATATTTTATGAAAATGTTGGAATCGTTAACACCAAATAACACAGCAGCAGGATCTGGATCATCATGAGTTCCTCAAGGCATAACATGCACCTTATTATACGGAATCCATTTTATCTCAATTGACTCATTCACTCTGTGAAAATATACTCATCGCAGCCCGTTGTTATTTTCTTAATATTAACCTACACAGAAAGAAATTTGCTACAGATATATGAGTACTGAAAAAGTAACAAGAAATTGAACCAGGTAACTTGACGCAAATTGAGAAATGTACCTGTTGTACAGTCATTTGTATAATGAGGTTTTCAATGACATATGGGCTAAATACACAGCTGAAGGAATAGTCATGATAAAATGTACCGAATACTTTAATACATTTATAGACATCAATGAAGTTTAGGGAACCGTGTATTGCTGGTAGTGCCATTCTACGCATAAGAGAGATAGTGAAGGCTTGTGTTTGGTTAAGGGCAGAATATGTGGTCAGTTGATCAGCTGGCTAGTTGATGGTGACTTGACCAAAGATAGAGAGAGAAGATGGAAAGCCAGAACTTAATTTGATCATATCGAGAAAGATCGATAAATTTATGATCAAATATTGTTTATGTCGACAAATAATCAATAACCCCAAAAATAAAACGGAATTTCACCAAAACAGTTAATAATTCTGTAAGATAATCAAAAACGAAAATAATTCTTATCAAAGCCTTTGATCATTAGTTTAAGATTCGACTTTAAGGAGTGGAACTAGTTTTACAACCTATCTATATATTAGTTAAGTTTACGCGCCAGTTTGATCGGTTATCGCAATCCAGCTGTCATAGTGTCATGACGACATCGTGGGTTTCAGAGTGCAAGGACTTATCTAACACTGATTTGGTTCATATCGCCAAACTTGCTGAGCAGGCTGAACGATATGATGACATGGCGGCAGCTATGAAGCGGTATACCGAGGCTTCGGGGAATTTAGGGAACGAAGAACGGAATTTACTATCGGTGGCATATAAAAATGTTGTGGGTGCTAGGAGATCAGCATGGAGAGTGATATCTGGAAGCGAAACGAAAGCAGCAAATGACCATGTTAAGAGTCAAATAGCAGAAGAGTACCGTATTAAAATAGAAAAGGAGTTGAATGCAATCTGTGATCAGGTTTTGGTAAGTTGGACGTGAAGCATGAAGGATGTTTTTAGGCTCTGCTCAAAGATTATCTGCTTGTACAGGAAACTAACGACGAAAGCAAAGTTTTCTTTCTGAAAATGCAAGGTGACTACAATCGGTATCTTGCTGAAGTTGCCAGTGATAAGACTCGAGCTGAAGTGGTTCAAAGATCACTCGATGCTTACACGAAAGCTACGGAGGCTGCCAATAAGTTGCCCACCACTCATCCTATCCGTCTTGGTTTAGCTCTTAACTTCTCTGTGTTTTATTACGAAATACAAAATAATTCTCCTCAAGCGTGCCAGTTAGCTAAATGCGCTTTCGATTCAGCAATAGCAGAACTAGATCAGCTTCAAGATGATTCCTACAAAGACAGCACACTAATTATGCAGCTTCTAAGAGACAATTTGACGGTAAGATTTCTATTAGTTTTTCTAATATGTCTAATTAGTTGTGGGCCAGTGACCAAACAGCTGAGGGAGATGTTGAAAATGACAGCTAAACTCCGTTATGTAATATCTATTATAGCCCTCATGTCATACAAGATCATGTTAATTTTCCGATTGTTTGCCGTTATTTTGTACGTATGGGTGAAAGTTACAGTGCTATGGTGTAAATTACTCAGGAGTTAGTATGGAAAATCGAGTACCGCAGTTCACTGATGTTAGAATTCCACAAAATGATCAGGCACATGACTTGTTCTCATAGTTCATTTCGACAAATATCACTTATCTGGGATCGTCATTGTACCACTTAATAAATGATCTCCATAACAATTTGAAGGTAAATTCCTCACAATTTCACTAAATTCGGTTATCTCGCTAGTTATATCGCGTGTTAGTTGTGGCAATTCTAGTTTATACAACGGTACCACAACGTATAAGATATGTAGTTGCAACGCAAGGTCTCCATATCGGAAGACACTGTTTGCAACCGTATAACGGGTTCGGACACTAGACTGAATTTTGGGATGTTCTTTTAGGAACTTGGTACTGAAAAGTTTCCGTACTCTGACTAGTTCAGTATCAGTTCACTCTCGTGTGGTTGCGTAAACTGGCCCCTTAACGTTAATAGACCCATAAAATGCCTTCATCAATTTCAAACACTACTGTGTGTTCAATCCAGGTAAAGATGTCCATAACTTTTACTAAAAGCCTACTGTTACAATTTAATGGACAGATTTTAAGTTTTAAGATATACAGTCACAAACTTCTGTCTTTTTGGAGAGGCTTCATATATCACCTAGCCAAAACGGGAAGCCAGCAAGATACATCTTTCGCTTATTTGGCGTTTCAACGGCAAGTTATTGTGGACTGGCGAGCGTAGGTCTGGGATTAGGTGCCACGATGAATAGCCGTACGGTAGTAAGTTCTAATTCAATCGATTTCTGATTATCTTTTGGGCTCTGAGGTTACTGACAGGTGCTTACACTAGTGCTTTTGAGTGGATTCAAGATGGTTTCTGGTGGCACAGGGACATTTGCTCTCTATCTTCACTTCGAACCCGAGTTCTCTGTATCAATTTTTCCTGTTTCTTGCCCAATACTGGAACTGTTACTACCCCTACTACTCTGGAATTTGTCTCGATAATTTTATCTGGATGTGCTAACCTGGTTTGTTAACACTAAGTGTTGGAAAAGTGTGTCAGGTTGCAAATAGCTGATTAGTTGACGTAAATGACCTACTTGTAGCCAGCAAAACCGAAGCAACATCTAAGTTACCTGGAGCACTAAATGATTGAATGAGTACAGATTTCCCATGAATTAATAAGTGAGTTTAGGACGGTCCATCGGTTTTTATATAAGTTACTAAAGAACCTAGATGACGTACAGAGTACCAACGACTACTTGCTATTTGACCTGTCCGAAAGCTACATGGTTTCTTGGGAGTCGTCCCCAACTTTACTATTCTACAGCATTGATGGGTTACTTACAAAACTGATCACGAACAAATCGTCCTTCACCTGAAATCAAGCAGTTATTCGAAGCTATAAAAGATGAGCTAAACACATAAGCAGTACTGACCAGACGCCTTCAGCCATACTAAACGAAGAGAATAAAAAATTGGAAGCACTGACCGCTCCAAAACACTACACTGCATGCAAACGGCGACTATTGTCGTTCTACTTAGATGTGAAACACTCAATAGATTTTAGGAGAAAATAGCTTGACAGTACTTACTGCCTGGGAATTGTTATCGGAGGGTTCTGTAAAGATTCATGATAAGTATGGTTCGCGCGAAACGCAGCTTGAGCTCATATCACAATTCTTAATAAAAGGTATGTAGACGGTGATAACAACCACATTAGGCTCACCAATTTTGATAGCCCATCTGACTCAATAATATGTTTGTCCGATACATATGTATCACGGATTAATCTCCTACATAATCTAGGACTTATCAGATATTCACAACGCGGGATTGAAAGTCAGATGCGAAATGTTGGGAATATCATGTAGATCACTAATATAGATGATCTGAGCTGAATGACTGGGTGCGTACTGAAGTAAGGAGGGAGTAGTGTGATGAGACGGGTAACTTCGAAATCGCACCTAACGTGGATTGCCGTTTCATCGTACCACGGTACTATGGCTGCTCTGAAGACCGTGTAACGCAAAGGACGTTATTAGAGGAGTATTTTAGAAAGAGTAGGTAGGGGAATAAAGTGCGACCATCACGGCATTGGCCAGTCCATTGCGTGTAATCAACTGATGCGTGTTATCTGTCTCTCGACTTGACGAGGCTGGGTGAACTTCTAGGCATTTAATAACACGACCGCCGGGTGATTTGGTAAGGGTCCAGTGACATTTCATTTGCTCTACACGTGTGTCAAACAAATGTATTGAGAGACCGAGAGAGTAAGTATTCGAACTGAGTTGGAAAACAAGCATCCCACCCAATTCACTATTTAAGCTTATGCCTTAGTGTATATAGTCCGAGTAGACAAACAATGAATAAAATAAGGAAGTAAGTGCAGGCAAACTGACTAATTCCACACAAATTGGACGATATGGTCAATTGGATTAATATGGACACAAATTTTATATTGAAAAGAGCAAGAACAAAGATTCTAGCAAAATAGCATGAATTCATTTTATTTCGTAAGTTCTCGTCAGCTGCTTACAACCTGCGATATTTAAAAATCATAATTACATAATGGGTTTAAATTGCTAACTGAATATTGTAAATATATACCTAATGTGAAAGAATATTCTACAACAGTTCAAAGGTGGTTTAGAAACAATCGATTACATAATGAATGTTCAGGCGTAATACAACACATTGTTCAACTGATAGCTGTAGCTGAGTTTGATTAGTGTATTGGGTCTGATTTTGATTTGTATCCGACCTGCAGCGGGTTGCGTCAAATGTTCTTAACGTTTATTATTTGTCTACATGTTAGTACTAGATAGACTAGCTATACATATATATAATTTTATACAGCTGAATTTCACTATTAATCCTCACAGAATTGCTGTTTGAGGCCAAGTACACAAAGTTGTATATATTAACTAGGTTACCTTAGAATCGGGATTTATACGGCTAGCTCCTTGGATGAAAATCGATTTGACGTTAGTAACAAGAACCCCCTCTGGGGCTTCTGCCGGTCTCAATCTCTAGAACACTAAGTTGGTTTATATAGGTCGTTGATTGTAATTTTTGCGTGCATCTCTAAAGTGATTTTCGAAAAAGTAGTGTAGATTATGTATCATTTCTATTTCCAAGGTTTATTTGAGACTTTGCTTTTGGAATAATTTACAATATTTACTGATAGAGAAGACTTGTACTTAGGATGGATGGGTTTAATGGACTAGGTGCAGATTAATGTGTCATAATTCCAAAATTAAATCTCTGATCATGTAGTCTAAACAAATGAGAATCATATTATTGAGTGGTGATAAACCATGAGTAAAGCTGTAATACATCATTATGTTGATGTCTGATTTGCTTCCATACAATCAGTAATTTTTGCAAAAACAGAGATTAACACTGACGAAGTTTTGTCGAATCCGATTCAGAATACATTCTTCATGAATATAAGTCTGTTGATTTATACTTGATAGTTCACTTTTCTTATTTTGAGGATATAAATACTTCCATTCATTTAGGTTGCAGTAAATACATATTGTAAATATGGATTGCAACATACATCGTCTGAGTAATAAGAGATTATCGTTTGATAAATGATACAAATAACAAGACAATAAGGTGGAGAGAATTATCTATGTAAACCATCAGTAATCGCACTGTACATTTTGCAAATAGTTCCTCTCCAACAGCTTATAGTAAACCTTATTTAAGAGGTGTATATTCACTTGTACGCAGTAAGCTTAGTGGATATGAAGTGAGAAGCTGATTTGTGATTCTACAGTTAGACTTTACCAATGTTTGGTTTATACGACACATTTGAAACAATCACACAGTTGATGATGATGATGATCTTCACTGAATTAAAACCGCACTTCTTAGTATCAGTCGGTCCGTCGTTATTTTCGAACGATTTCTATTCTAACTGATGTCAGTCACATTCAATTGAGCAAGTGTATTGACCAATGGCAAAATGCCCATATTACTTGGATCCTGTGAACTGAGTTACGAAACATGGTCACTGGTGAAAGTGGACTCAAATCTCAACATAATTTAGCTGACATTTGTCCAAAATTATAACGAACACCTCTGTAGGAACATTAGATCATGTAGCCGAAATCGACATATGATTATCTCGAGTGTGAATGCTGCTACATTAAT